GGAACAGCTGGTAGTTTTGAACCGCTGACCTTAAGGTTCGCAGCCCGATTCGTAACCACTACGCTACCAGATATACTGAATCCAAATTACATCTTCATAATAGATGATGATCTATTACAACTTCCATCACATGGTTCAGGCTGCATCCATATTGATTGTTTAATTAGGTTTTCCTCTCTCTGTTTTAGGAGTTTCTTAGTGGCGCAAGTCGATAAGTACTTGTCTCCATCCACAGGCTCTTTGCAAGTAAGACCTAGTCACTTCTAAAAAAAAACTTCTATGGAGCACATTTCTACCCAGAGTCATCTCAGTAGAATATGGTAACTGGTGTCTCTGTTTTAATACCATTTGCCCTTTTTTCATAACCCTTTTAGTTGAGTGAAGTACTGGAAAGAAGAGAAGTGGGGTGGTGGAATTTTTACAAAGCTATCAGTGTGTTCTAAGTTGTTGTGGTGCAGGTCACGCCCAATTTAGGTTGCAAAGCAAGTATCAATATGAAAGGTAAACATTGAACAGGTTCCCCCAAACCCCAAGTCAGACCTGCTGCCATCAAGCAGACCCCAACTCATGGTGTTACTGTCTAGGGTCTAAGACTGTAAAGCTTTATGGGAGCAGATGGCCCCGACTTTCTCTGGGGGAGCAGCTGGTGGATTTGAACCACAGGCCTTCCAGTTAGCAGCTCACCACCTAACCCACAGCACCACCAGGGTCCCTTAGAGAACAGGGTTGCCACAGATCATCAGCCTGCACAGGACACTAACGTGAGGCACAATAAGATAAGATAAACCTTTATGATAAGCTTCCCAGAATCCGGTCTCTTGTTACCTGATAGCTTCTTTCCCATGGAATTCTGTGCACACTGGTTCAAAAGAGTCGTTAGATGAAGGATTAGAGTCTACTTCATCTTCAAGGGTCATGTGAGCAGCTTTTTGTTGTTGTGAACAAGGTGAGGACTTCAGGAAAAACAGGGGCGAACGACGATGTCCGTATTCATCTACATGCGCAGGAGACAGTGAGTTATTGCCTCAGTTACCACTTGTAGGGACTGAGCTTAATACAGCACTGATGTGAGTGTCTTTGTCACTAAACCTGAATGCACTGCTAACACAAGGTAATGACAAACATAATATCCCAAATGACTCCTGGAAAGTGTTGTTGTTAAGTGCCGTTGAGTTGGTTCTGACCCATAGCGACCCTGTATAGGGTTTCCAAGGAGCAGCTGCTGAGCTGGAACCGCCGGGCTTGCAGTTCAAACCAACTTTGAAGTACAGCGCATTAACCAACAGCACCACAGCAGGGCTTGAAATAAACTACATAGTGATGTAAGGTTTGTTAATATATATATGAAAATGCCTAATGTTTCATGATGGAGGATGTGGTTGTTCTGTTGTTAAGTGTCATCGAGTTGGTTCCAACTCAAAGCAATCTTGTATAAAGTTTTCGAGGCGTGACTGGTGGGCTTGAACCACAAACCTCGAGGTTCAAACTGTGAGACCCAGCGCTTATCCTATAGTGCCACACCAGGACTCATGCCTGGATTATATCCATAAAAAATAAACATCTGCTTTTGTGGAACTTACATTCTTGTAAGTTACAAGGTAGTAAAAATGAACATTTATGACCCAATGACTTTCCTACTGGGGAAACTCTGGTGAGACTTACAAAAACTCTGATGTGCTGAACTCACCACAGATTAATTGAATCAGAATCTCTACTGGGGTTGGGTTGGGTTGGGCGTTTCATTACCATTCCCCAGGTGGTTTTGATGTACAATTGAGGTTCTGAACTACAGAGCTAAAAAATTATGCAATAGTATATTCCATATTTTATGATTGAGGATCAGGCCAGCTCCATTTAGGAACTAGTTTTCTAAGAATCATTTATAAGAAAAACACATCAAACACTTAGAGTAAAGGGAAGTTCAAATAACAGTAAGTGACTTTATTAGCCAAGTCCTGGCTTTAGTTCCAACCCAACACATTGCAAAAAGGAGAGAGTTGTGCTTCTCTCCTTCCTATTGGTGCATAAAGGGATTCTTAAAATGTCAATAGCACATGTGCTAGACATTTGTTTGGAAAAATAAAATAATGTTCAAGTTTTATCACTACTTACTTGGCAAAATGTATTCAAAGTAAATCATCAATGCCAGATAGAGGAACATATCAAACACCAACATGAAATGTGTTGCTATTATTAGATTTGAGCTGTCCTCCGAACCAGAAAATGCATTAGAATTCAAGTCATAGTCCTCACGTAGAAGCTGAAAATAGAAAAATAGTTTGGGTGAGGTGTATGAGGAATTTTAAGCAATTAGTTGTATCCTAGAAATGAAATGCCTTTTGGTTTTGGTCTAGGAACACTATGACAAATAAGGAGACTGCTGAGTTTTAAAGTTCCCATGTCTAGTGGAAGGCATAGACACATGAACAGCTATAATAGGAGTTGGTCATTGCTATGGTAAAATGTTGCTGCAGGATCAGCATTGGATTGGTGACCACAAGGTTGGTGGTTCAAATCTACCAGCTGCTCCTTGGTAACTCTATACAGGTATGAACCAGAACTGACTCGACCACACTTAACAACATGGTCACATCCATGAGTAGTGCAAAGGTTAATGCCATTTGGCTGTTACCTGAAAGGTGGGTGGTTGGACTCCACTCAGGGTAGTTCCAACAAAAGGTCTGGGACCCACTTTTTAAGAAGAAGCCAGTGAAAATCCTATGGAGTATAGTTTTATTCTCACATACATGGGATCATCATGAATCAGACACTAAAGATATGTCCCAAATGAAATGAAAGCCTTAGGAGGTTGTAGGGAAGTGTGGGAAAAGATCTTAGATACATTTTTGATCAAATGAAACACGAGACAAAGGTGTGATGCTTCTTGAAGACAATTGCACTATAGAGGATTCATTCTCTGAAAAATGCATTTCCAAAGTAAATCTTATCATTAACAGCTCTTATGTGAGGAACCTGATGGTGGATATTTACTGATTGACATTAGCAATGATTGTTGGAAAGACAAGATGAAATCGATGCACGAATCAAACAGAGAAAGCAACAAGACATTTAAGAATAGAAATGCAATTTACTAATCAATAAATGTGTTTTCAAGGTGATTTATGTTCTAATTGAAATGAATTTTACTTTGTAGTTTTTACAATCACATGTGTTATTCAATCACTGGGTCAAAATATGAACTAGAATGCGTAGTTAGATTTGGGACATCAAGTCTATATTTAATATCCTATGAAAAATTAGGCTATTAAATATAGACTTGACGTCTCTAAAGACTCGTATGTTCACCCTCCCTTTTTTTTACTGAAAGAATGACTTATTTTGCTGTAGGCTCATCACTGAACTGCAAACCACAAGATCGGAAGTTCACCTACACAGGTCTGCAATGAGTCGGAATCGACTGAACGGCACTTAACAATAACGAACACTTTCAAAGCTTTTAAAAGTTCACCTTTGCAACTTCACCAGCGCCTCTTTAGCACAGTAGAGATGCTGGAAATGAGGATAGAGGGGAAACAGGCTTTTGAAATTTCATAAACAGATCATCACAGCGATACTCACCTGAGCCATTCCAAGCGTGAAGGCAAAGGGACTAAAAATACTTAAAGTCCACTCCAAGGATGCAGGGAGGTGTCTGTACAATGCTGCAAATCCCACACTGCCCCAAAGGACAGTGAGAAGGAACACAATCAGGCCGGTTAGGAAAGGTTTCTTTACCAAGACACTCGTTAAGAAAGTCAAGGCTATCTAAAATGAAACAAGAGCCAGTTGGTTTATATTTTTTTGAGAAATAAACAATAAGAGATTTAATACACAAAAATATAGCTTGTTCTGCAAATTGTACTATCAACAGATCTTCTCACACAAATAGAACACGCACACAAGAGTATGTGGGGCAACATCTGATCAATTACCAACACTTGTGCCTTTGGGCTGAAAGGTGGATGAAGAGAGATTTCATTCTTCAACTCACCAAAGACAATCCATAGAGTAGAAAGAAGGTTAAGACCACCACAAAGCCAGTCAAGATGACAAATTGGGACGATTTAATAATAAGCGCCATGAAAAGGGCCATAATGAAGACATAAGCAGCATAGAGCAAACCCCAGGATAACCTAGTGAGAAAACAAAGGGTTCTGTTAGTAGTTCCTGTTCAGCTGAAAAGCAGGACCTGAAATGGATATTACCATTAGGCATTTACTCTTTCATTCTGCAAATATTTATGGAGTGTCCCAGAGTATGTAAATGTAACATAGATATTTTGGGCAAAATATATGATGGGTCTCAAGTCAATTCCAGAAACACACACTACTGTGAACACAAGGGGAAAATAGAATTCCAGTCTGCAATATTCTAGCTCTCTGGTCTTGGAAAAACGGGGTTGTTGTTGTTAAGTGCCATCGAGTCGGTTCCGACCCATAGCGACCCTGTACAGGGTTTCCGAGGGTGTAAATCTTTATGGGAGTAGAAAGCCTGATCTTTCTCCCGCGGAGCAGCTGGTAGTTTTGAACCGCTGACCTTAAGGTTCGCAGCCCGATTCGTAACCACTACGCTGCTATTACTCTATTGGTCGAGTCAGTTCTTATAGTGACCCTGTATAGGGTTTCTGAGGAGCGGCTGGTGTGTTTAAACTGATGACCTTGTGGTTAGCAGCAATTACTCTAAGCGCCTTTATTTCTCTAGAAAACAGAAGCATACTCTAATGAAGAGTCAATGAGGCAATGTCTGTTTTGGACCTTGTTCTCGTATGTGGTAACCCTTTAGTGAATTTCATACCTTCGCTACTCTTATGGTAGCTGTCTGCAAAAGGGAATTTCAGGAGAAAGGGAAATTCTTCCTCATGTGTAAATCTGTCCCCTCTTCTTTTCCCCCAAATCTATTTTCATCTCTCTATCAATGCACACTGCTGATGATTCCTCAATTTTTATAGGACAAAATTGAAAGTCATGACTTTGACCTACCAGCTCGGTGTGACCTTAGACCTGACCCTGATGGTCTATTCAACTGTCATATTGCTGCTTCTCCATGCACCATTCTTCCTTGTCCTTTATCTTGGTACCTGTAAGACATTCTAGACTTCCTAGGTATCCTATTCTTGTTTTCCTAGTTAATGTTGTGGTACATAGTTTCTCTTTTCCCCAATTCCAGGGAAGTCCTGGTGTGGAGTTATAGGATAAGCACTGGACTTCTAATTGCAAGGTCAGTGGGTTAAACCTACCAAGTCCTTGGAATGCTATACAGGGTCTCTATGAGACAGCACTTAACAACAAGTGAAGCCCTAAATGCTGGGATCACATCCTTTCTAGTCTAGTCCCTAATATAGCCTTTGGCACACGGTATGAATACATTCAGGCTTTTTTAGTGAATTACTCATGAATGAATCAGTTAATAACCTCCAAGGAGAATAGCAGTATCTAGTCTTGGCCTGGCCAGCATTACATCAAAGGAAACTGACTTCATTCATAGGGAAAAGGAAAACATTAAAAAAGCATTAGGTTTTAATACTGATGCTCTAGATTTAGAAGTCCTGGTGTGGCACTGTGAGATAAAATACTGGACCGAAAGGTTGGTTTCAATCACAAGGTCGGAGGTTCAAGCTCACCAGCTGCTCCCCGGAAATCCTATACAGGGTTGTTATGAGTTGGAACCGACTTGACGACACTTAGCAACAACAACATATCTAGAAGAGGAGTCCTGGTGTGGTGCTGCGGGTTAATGCGCTGGACAGCAAAGTCAGTTTGAACCACAAGGTCAGCAATTCAGGCTCATCAGCGTCTCCTTGGAAACCCTAGAGAGGGTTGCTATGAGACGGAATTGACTCCACGGCACTTAACAACAACAATAACATGTGAAGAAGCCGTTTCCTGAGTTGGTCCATTTCTCTATCGATGTCAAATTTCACTCACCAGAACGCTGAATCTCGAAGACCCATCATTTTCATAAAACTTTTCATCTTTTTCCTCTCTCTAGTAATATTGAGAGAGGCATAGTAAGTGAATGGGGAAAAAGAAATGATGCAAAAGAAAATAAAGAAATCTGTTAGAAGTCCGCCTTGACTGATGAAGGGATATATCTTCATAATCTTCCCAGTAGCTGACATCAATTCTTCCATCACTGAATGATTAGTTGTGATCTGAAGGAAGATAATGATAAATAAAATGTGTGCATTATTGGATGACATGCTCCATTTTCTTATTGTTGTTGTTTTCTTGACGTTTGTTTTTGTTTGTAATTATTTTTCCTATTCAAACAAGAGCAACATATCTCTCTCTCTCTGACTCGTTTTTTTGTGGTCTCCAAAGCAGCTGCTCACAAATTATTCTTTCTGTGTAAATTCCAAAAAACTTAAGAACTGAAATCAGAACACCACCTTTAATATGGATGAAGCTGAAACTAGAGACTGTGAGTTTAGTTAAATTTGTTACATAGAAATTAGTGAGCAAATGAAAGCATGGCGCTGTTTATATGTTATTGCTAAATGCCAGTGAGTTGTTTTGGACTCCTAGCAAATCTATATAGGGTTTCCAAAGAACAGCTGATGGATTTGAACTGCCAACCTTCTAGTTACCAGTCCAGTACCTATCATACAGTGACATACTAGGATTCCATCTATTTGTATGTATGTTGTTGTTAGGTGCTATTGAGTTGGTTCTGACTCATAGCAACCCTACGTAAAACAAAATAAAATACTGCCGGGACCCGCACTAAATCTCACAATTGTTACACCTGAGCCAACTGCAACTGGCACTGTGCCAATCCATCTTGTTTCCTGTCTTCCTCTTTTTCTCTGACCCTCCACTCTACCAAGAATGATGTCTTTCTCCAGGGACTGGTCTCTTTTGATGGTGGTGGCTGTGTGCCATGGAGTGACCCTGTACAGGGTTTCCGAGGCTGTAAAACTTTATGGGAGCAGAAAGCCTCATCTTTCTCCCACGGAGCAGCTGGTAGTTTTGAACTGCTGACCCTGAGGTTAGAAGCCTGACTCGTAACCACTATGCTACCAGAGTTGCTTGGTCTCATCTGGTGTTGTTGTTGTTAAGTGGTATCGAGTCGATATCAACTCATAGCAACCTTTTATGCCCAGTAGAATGAAACACTGCCCAATTCTGGGCCAACCTCATCACTGTTGCCACGCTTGAGTCCATCGATGCTGTCACTTTGCCAGTCCATCTCACTGGGGGTCTTCCTCTTTTCCTCTGACCCTCCACCTTACCAAACATGATATCCTTCTCCCGCAACTGGTCCCTCCTGACAATATGTCCGAAGTATGAGAGACGAAGTTTGGCCATCTTGGCCTCCAAGGAGCACTCTGGCTGCACTTCTTCCAAAATGGATCTATTGGTTCTTTTGGCAGCCCATGGTACTTTCAATATTCTTGTCCAACACCATAACTCAAATAGATGCATCTAATATCCCTGATGGAGTCCTGGTATGGTGCAGTAGGATAAGCACTGGACTGCTAATCACAAAGTCAGCAGCTTAAACTCACCAGTCACTCCTTGGAAACCCTATAAAGGGTCATTATGAGATGGAACACATTTGCTGGCACACAACAGTATCATTAATTTCCATTGAATATTTTGCACTTACTTCGATAATAGCAGCATTAATGGAAGCTTGGAGAGCCACAAAACCTTTACTCCAGAAATCAGACACTCCACAATCAAGATTTCCATTGGCCTCGTAACAGTGAGCTTTGGGAAAAGAAGGAAAGCATGATATATCATTATTGACTAGCTCAGTACTGGTTGTTGAAACAGTGGATTCTAAGCAGTGCACCGAAACTCTAAACATTCTTATGTAAAATCAAAGCCCATGACAACAAAAAAAATCATAATAATGATTCTCAGTGTGGGGAGGGCACGGCACTGTATTAACTTGAATACACATTGCTTTATTGTACAATCTGTGCTTCTCTGTTAACATATGGTTTTGTTGAACTGTTTCTCCTTTATGATTTTTGTATTGTGAAGACCATATTTTAAAAATGCTTTTTTTTTTTTGAAAGTTAGCAGTCTAATATGGATTGAGAACTGTTGAACTCAACGGGAGCTATTTCTAGCAGACAAAGATTAGCTATAACACAAGTATAATGGGCGAAAGGAAGTTCAAAACATGACAACTTTGCTTAAGTCATACTGACCAGAAAGCTTTTTGAAGGAGGAGGCTTACATATTAATACACACTCCGCCCCCCACCTACCGTTCTATTAGAATTAAACTATATGTTAAACTGTGTTAAGGAGATTTTTTAAAAACATGTATTAAAATGGAGTACAAGAATCAAATGAATATTGCATAAATTTAAACAAAACATTTCAAAAACCATTTTGAAGCATTTCACACCCACAAATGATATAAGCTAAATCATCACAAGAACAGTTGGAACCCCCTCTGTAAACTCTATGATCTTGTTGCTTTCCTCATCATCATGACCTTAACTGGAAATCATATATATTTCTGAGGAGCAGCTGGTGGGTTTGAACTGCCAACCTTTCCTTTCAAACTGATCTTGTGGTCCAATGCGTATCCTACAGCTCCACACCAGGACGCTCTCTGTCATGTATATATATATATATATATATATACATATACACACACACACACATACATTGTTGTTATGTGCCAGGGAGTTGGTTCCGACTCACAGCCACCCTGTACAGGGTTCCCAAGGGGCAGCTGGTGAGCTTGAATCACCGACCTTGTAGTTCAAATGGCTTTGCATTAGCTATTAACACCCAAATCTCTTGATTATTGAGACTGGCAGCTGTGTCCTTGGGAATCCCCTTACTTAAACATTTAAAGGGACTCCTGGTGTGATGCTGTAGGATCCACAAGGTGAACAGTTCAAACCCACCAGCCACTCCTGGGAAACCCTATACATGGTCACTATGAGTCAGAACTAACTCTACGGTATTTAACAACAACAACAAACATTTAAAGGGATGTCTGATGGCAGAAACAGTTTGTGCTCATCTACTAACTTATTGGAATCCTGGTGTGGCATTGTCAGAGAGGCACTGGACTGCTGCTAACTTCAAAGTTGGCAATTCAAACCCACCAGCTGCTCCTTGGAAATGCTATACCGGGTCACTATGAGTCAGAACCGACTTGATGGCACCTAACAACAACAACTAGCCTACAGGTTGATGGTTTTAACCCACCCAGCAGTAGCATGGATTCAGAAAGTTCTAGTCATCTGCTTTGTAAAGACTGCAGCCACGGAGACCTGGTGGAGCAGTTCTGCTATATAACATAACATAACATAACATAACATAACATAACATAACATATAACATAAAACATAATACAACATAAAACATAACATAACACATAACATAAAACATAACATAACATAAAACATAACACAAGAGGTTACCATGAGTCAGAATCAACTCAACCCCATTGAGTTTCCATTTATTTTGTTTTATTCTATCCGTATACAACTTTGTTTTAAACAACCATTAAAATATGCTAATATACCCCATCATAAGTGTACATTTTGTGTGGAGAGATCATTTTGACCGCACGATGGCTGAGATGTTATTTATTTTGCCATACTAAGATGTGGCACTGTAGGATCAGCACTAGAACACAAGGCTGATTTGAACCACAAGGTCAGCAGTTCAAACTCACCAGTCACTCTTTGGAAACTCTATACAGGGTTGCTACAAGTCAGAACTGATTCGACGGTACTTAGCAACAACAACATGTGTCCCCATGCATGACTTATAATGAAAACAGATTTGTGGATTTTACAGCTGGGAAGTTACCTGTATGTTCCCCATGCTCCTTACTAATTGGGATTCTGTGTCCGAACAAGAACTTCAAATGGTATGAGAATGTATTAGTAAAGATGACTTTTACTATTTCATTAGAGTAAACTGCTTCTATTTCTTCAGTATCTTCTTCATCTAAGAGTCCTATGACTTTTCCACCTGCCATTGCAAGAAGACAATATTACTGTAAGAATATTATTAAAATTCAGGATGTCATTTTCAATCATTTTTACTAGAGTTCTCTATGGAAAAATTTAAAAGTATTGAGTAAATCATGCAGATTAAGCTGTTGGGGAAAGGCATTTCTAAAATTCAGTCTAGAACCAAGCAGAAGGAATACATGAGACTAGTTTGTCCTTAGATGCGCATGATTATTGAGCGAATTTCAATCACAGGAAATATCGTAACATAATAATGAGCTGCTTGCAGAAGAATTAACAGTGCAATAAAACTAAAATGATAGCAAAATAATGTATCTACGGAGTAATTCTACTCTACACACATTGGGTTGCCATCAGATATCTTGAATACTGTTCACCTATTCAACACCTGACTGGAAAAAAAAAAAAAAAAGGATTGAGGTGGGAATTTTGAAGATAAAAGGAGAGGGCAGCACATAATTTGACAGAACTGAATTTTTTCTGGACTTGATCATTTAAAGCTGTGTAAGCATGATCAAGTTAATTTGCTTATTTATTAAATAAATATAATAAACTTACTATTGTAGTTTTTAATACAGAGTACAGAATACTGTAAGGTATTATTATTATAGAATTATATCTATTATTATAGAATAAAAGATTCCCTGGATGATCAATGGTTTACATGCTCAACTGCTAACTGAAAAGTTAGAGGTTCAAGTCTATCCAGAGACACCTTGGAAGAAATGGTTGGTGATTACCTTAGAAAAAAATTAGCCACTGAAAACCCTGTAGAGTACAGTGCCACTCTAACATGCATGGTTTTGGTGGTTGTTTTACAAAATAAAATCTCTGAAAACAATCTGGCACACAGTAGCATTAAATGAAAATTTCTTATCCTCATTGTATGCATCTTTGAATGAGGGTATGGAGAAGCACTATTAAATGATGCCGAGACCCTCAGGAGAACATCTGTGAAATAAAGGGAGACAGTAAATAGGTCCGAGATAGGTTGGCAGATGGATCTCAAGTGCAGAGTTCAGGTCAGGTCTGATCATGTATCAGAAGTAGCTACAGGGTTTGTAGGCAAGATTTTGCAGCTCAAGATGGCCTCTGCTTGGGGTGTGCCATCCTGTAAGTGAACATACCACACAGGACCATAAACCAGAGAGGTGGGGACATAGTTCTTCCTTGGTTGATGTATCTGTGTCCACCAGTACCATACAGAAATGTAATCCATACTGAAGGCTTTTTATTGTGAATTGAGTGATAGTTTACATGGGAGAACATCGGCTTTACACCATCATTTCATTGCAATGATTACAATCTCCTCCATGCATCATCATTCAACAGTATTTACTTCTATTCCCTCTGGTTTTGTTTTGGAGGGAGGATGCACACAGAAACACTCAGGAATATATAATCATTTAAACAAGCAAAGGGCACAGTCTGTAAGCCTGCTTCCTGGCTGCCAGCACACAGCCTTTCTCTTTCCCTGAGTCTAGAGTCCTCAGCTGCTCCCTCTCTCCCTGTCCCCATCTCTGTCTCCATCTCTGAATAGGGTCTAACATTCCGGTCATGCTCTTCTCCCTTGATGGTCCTAGTGTCCTCTGTTCCTGGACTGCAAGATTAACTACTCCCCCATTTTTATTACAAAACCTCTACCTTTACCGCTGTAATAGTCGCAATTAGTCATGGTAACAATTACTCACTATTGAATCATAAGAATCTTATCACCATCTCTTTTCACCAGACCCATCTAGACAAGATGAAAACTATTCAGTTGGGATTCTACTGAAGGCTATAGTTTTTGATCTTCATTAGTAAGTGCTTCAAGTCCTCTTCACTTTCAGCAAGCAAGAATCAATGCATTTGAATTAGGGTGTTGATGAAGAACATTGAAGATATGATGGAATGCTAGAAGAATGAGCAAATACATCTTGGAAGAAGTACAGTCAGATGCTCCTTACAAGTGAGGATGAAAGTCAGTGATAAAAGCGAAGAATTGACACAGTGGTTGCGACACTGGGCTCAAACATAGCAATGATTGTGAATCTTGGAAGGTCCTGTTGTTGGTAGGTGCCGTCGAGTCATTTCTGACTCATGTTGTTGTTGTTAGGTGCCATTGAGTTGGTTCCAACTCATAGTGACCCTGTACGGGATAGCCAAGAAGCAACTGATGGATTTGAACTGCTGATCTTATGGTTCCCAGTCCAGTGCTGATACTACAGCACCACAACAGAAGTCCATAGCAATCCTATATACAACAGAACAAAACATCACTCGGTACTGACCATCCTCACAATTACTTCTATTCTTGAACCCACTGCTGCTGCCGCTGTGCCATTTCAATTCATTGGGGGTCTCTATCTTTTTTGCTGACCCTCCACTTTACCAAGCATGATGTCCTTTTTTCAAGGACTGGTCCCTCCTGACAATATGTCTTAAGTATGAGAGACAAAATCTGGTCATCTTGTCTTCTAAGGAGCATTGTGGTTGTACTTCTTCCAACGCAGATCTGCTTGTTCTTTTGGCAGTCCATGTTACTTTTTTTTTTTCTTCAGCTAAGACAGAGGAGATGATTTATTGTACATGTTACATTCAGCCACAACAGAACAGAATTAGTCCAGAATGTCATAGGTCCAGGACAAAGGGTCAAAACGAACTGAATTGGTACAGCAAGGTGGGTCTCAGCTGTTCGTAGCGTTCGTCGAAGGACGATGGAAGTTCTACAGCCACTGAGTCTTAAGTTCTAGATAAGTCAACTTGCACCAGTGTCTCGGCCTCTGACATTCTCCATTCCTGCTGCTGTGGCTTCCGTGGGTGCACACGCTACCCTTTACTTGGACCTCTGCCTCATCTTTCTTCTTTTGTGTTTCAGCCTGCGCATTCACTTATTCCTCCACTTGGCTCTCATGGCTCGGAGTCGTCTAACAAGATGGTGCTAAGGCCAAGAGAGCAGTCCATGTTACTTTTAATATTTTCTTCCAACACTACAGCTCAAATGCATCAGTTCTTCTACAGTCTTCCATACTCACTGTCCAACGTTCACATGCATTGAAAATACCATGGCTTGGGTCAGGTGCAATTTAGTCCTCAAACTGACATCTTTGTTCTTGAACACTTTAAAGAGGCATTGTGCAGTAGATTTGCTTAATATGATATGTCATTTGATTTCTTGACTGCTATAGGTCCTAACAGGAGTCCTGGTGTGGCACCGTGGATTAATGCACTGGACTGCACAGTCACTTTGTCCCATCAGGTCAGAGGTTCAAGCTCACCAGTCACTCCTCAGAAATCCTATACAAGGTTGCTATGGGTTATAACTGACTGAACAGCATTTTACATACACACAGGTCCTAGCAGTATTTTGTTCTGTTGCACAAAGGATCACTATGAGTTGGAATGAATTAATCATGCTTAATAACATCATTATAATCATGCTTAACAATCATGCTTAATAACAATAACACCAAATATCCTTGAGTCATGGCCACTCCATGTGTGTCAAAGCAGAACTAGACTCTATAGAGTTTTCAATGACTGATTTTGTTGCGTAGTGGTTACGAATCGGGCTGCGAACCTTAAGGCCAGCAGTTCGAAACTACCAGCTGCTCCGCGGGAGAAAGATGAGGCGTTCTGCTCCCGTAAAGATTTACAGCCTCGGAAACCCTGTACAGGGTCGCTATGGGTCGGAACCGACTCGACGGCACTTTGCAACAACAACAACAGATCATCAAGAGTTTCTTCTGAGATGGCTTTGTGTAGTCTTGAACCTTCAAATTTTAAGTTAACTGCTGAGTATATTAACCCTTTGCACCTCCTACCTTGATCCAGGTACGCCTTAATACTCTGCTCCTTTAAGTGAGGCAAAGTCTTCCCTTTTCCCTTAGGATAGCTTAATCAGAAATTCTTTCACTCTCCAAATATTCATGAGGAAGTTTGTTCATTTTATTTGGAATATGATTATAATGAGACTCAGAGAAGTGACCTGTACAAAGTACTACAGCCATTGGGTCACAGAGCCACTTTAGGTCAAATGTCCTCTGGCTCTAAATTTAGATTTCTTGCTTCTGTCCAATGCTGCTTCTCCTGTAGTCCCAAGAAATAGTTACAGAAGCGATCTTGACAGTAACAATTCTCTTCGTAAATGTTCACTGATAAATACCTAAACTCTGAAGAATGAAACTTGGAAACACAGAATACTCTTCGAGAATCTCCAAATATGTTAATGTGGTGCCATGATTTACTTGTTAATGACTCTTCTAGCCATAGTCTTTGTAGAGCCCACCAATCAATTAGGTGGACCATGTAGATTGGGTCTATTTCCTCTTTTGCCTGATGAGTTTGGGTAAGAGAAAGTGGTAGGGGTTGGGGGGGGGATATTGATAGGATTATATGATTCAGTTGTGAGTGATTGTGAATAGGGTCCATTGTGACTGGAAAAATTTGGAACTGTAATGTCAGGATTGGTCAATTTTGCCATCCTGCTGGTACAAAATGAACTATTTCAGAACCAGGGAGCTCTCACTACCATCTAGAAAGAAGAGCCAGGAGGGGAGTGCATCCTTTGGACCCTGAGATCCCTGCACAGTGAACCTCCTTGATACAGAAGACAGAGGGCTGTGACATCAGAGGGGTGGCGATGGTAGAACCAAGAGCACAAGACAGAGCAGTGGGTTTCCTGGCCCACAGAGCGAGAAAACTGGGCAGGAGGCTTGCTGGCAGAACGGATTGCCTATAGTCACTTAATTGGGGGAGCTAGCCAAGTGCCTTTAGGCTGAGGCTTATGGAAGAATGGAGTGTTCTTCTGACATTTATTGGCAATGCTAAAGGAGCTTTATAATACTGCCTGAGCAGGACAGAGGCCAAGGGACCACATGACTGAGAGGCTGAGGACCACCAAGAGTGGTGACTGTGGGCATCACTGAGAAGAGGTGTACCTGACTAGAAGAGCTGTCTCCTGGGCATTTCTGATCCTGGATGGTTACTCCCTCTTAACTTCCCTAGTAAACCCCATAGTTGTGAGTATGGTCTATAAGTTCTGTGTGGTCATTGTAATGAATGATCCAACTCAGCAGAGAAGTAGAAAGTGCTGTGGAAGGAATAGCTGCTGTCAGAATTAGTAAAGGACGAAAGAGGATAGAGGCATGTCTGACCTCCCCCTTCTAGGAATCGGCCTTGGCTGGATGTTATGTTTCATTCTCCTTCCTCCTTGGGAAGTCAGAGGACATCGAGGCTGCTCTCCCATCATTTGATCCTCAAATTCAAGCAAAGACAAAACTGAGTGCTCTTTGTAATAACCAGTAAACCTTAGAACAGCAGTCTCACTCTAGCAATAATGCCTGCACAGCTACGGGTCAGCAAAACCCCTAAACACTCCTTCTGTTCAGTGTCTTCCAATCTGTGCAGTTCATGTTTTCCAAAGTTTTCCTTGTTGAGAGATTTATACTCCAAATGGTAATCTGATGCTTGCCAAAACAACGCATTCAGCTTTGGTTGAGATGTTGAATAATGGCCTCTTACTTCCAACAGAGAATGTATATTAATACTTCATATAAAACAGAAAAGTTGACAGTCAACATGGTTTATTAACTGAAATGCAAATTAAATACATGCATTCGTGGCCAAATGAACCAAATCTTGGCATTAGAAATTCTTTTTGGGTTACTAGAAAACTCACCTGTCAAGAAAGGGGCTGAAGCTACTTTATTCATGATCTCTTGGGTTGTATTGGTGATCGGTGTGTATGCAATAATAAAGTCAGAATCTTGCAATGAATCTACACGTCCTAGGTCCACAGTGGGCATTGAAGAGAAATCAGTCTCATGATGAGCATTAGGAAATAGGTACAAACTAAGTAGTAGGATCAGTGAGTTCAACCATTCCTACACAGTCCAAGAGAAAAAGATAAACACAATTGTAACTTCAAATTAGGTATCCATAATCAGTTTTGACACATAGATTGCTTCTCTTCATCTATTTTTCTAATTCCAATGGATGTCACATTATTAAACTTTTAAAACATGTACAATACAAAAGTCAGTGGTCTTAGCAACCTCAAGGAATTATTGATTAGAGTGCAAATTTATTGATGCTTAGCACCAGTACTAACACTTGCAGTGGATCACTCCTGACACTAGAAGAGACAGTAGTAAAGCTGCAATGGATTAGTATTAGTATTATAAAGCTGCAATGGATTAGTTGCTATTTTATCTCTGTGAACCACTCATGCATGTTTGATTCTGCTGAATTTGCATGTTGTAAGAGACAGTCCCAAGGAACTGATCACTTATTAAAAAATATATTGGTCACATGCTAGGATTCTGGAATTAGAAACACAACTGAATGTAGATGACTTGAGAAATATTGGATTAGTTATCAGTTATCAGCCTTGGTCTCTTGCAACCTTCCAGTAACAAATCATTCAATATTTCCAAAATGTATGATACTTTCGAAAGTACTCATTATGCATACACAGCATAATTCCAGTTCAGTTAAAATGCTATGCAACACTGTCTACCTGATTATTAAAAGATACCAAGTTCTCACCAGGATTTTTATTAGATGGTGAGATTCTAAGAGCTAATGCTAATTTTCTTCTTGGAAATGAATACATTGACAACATTTCCACCATTTTGTTGTTGGTGAGTCAGTTCCAACCCATAGCGGCCCTGTACAGGGTTTCCGAGGCTGTAAATCTTTACGGGAGCAGAAAGCCTCATCTTTTTCTCACAGAACTGCTGGTAGTTTCCAACTGCAGACCATGAGATTGGCAGCCTGAATTGTAACCACTATGGCTATCGGAGCTCCTTTTTTGGCAGTATTTTTTTTTTTTTTTTTTTAAGTCAAAGAGATCCCAAACAGAAAATTCCAGTTACTTGTTCCATTAAACAATGTTTCACAGTGTTCTTGTTTACCAGATCTTTAAGATACTGGTACCTTAATCCTAGAATCTATGAGAATGCAGTAGTAAAAAGTAAAATCTTTGGCTTTTAACACATACATTGAATTCTCAACTGCTAATGAGTTTCCATGTTTTTAGACCTCAATTGATGGCACGGTGTCAACTGAAACGTCTTCAGACTGATTCATTGCTTGTGAAATATCTTTTTCAATATTACAAAGGTGCTTCATTTGGGGAAAGACATTCAAAGCATGGATACCAACCAAAAAAACTACATTTCCTACAGTAAACGTGAAGTGATGTAGATATTGAATCATACCATTAAAGAATCTCTTTTCATCCTCCGTTTTTTAAGAAGATTCTTGCATAATAAGGCCCAAGTTTGCTGAATCACACTTATCTCTCTCTTACTCATTTTGCTCTGTTTGAGAAGGAAAGGACAAAAATAAAGTAAATATTATGGTCTTAGTAAGACATTTCATGCAAATAAACACCCAATTGACTTCTGAGCAAGTGGCCAAGAGATGGAACCATATGATTGTTAGGAATTCGTTCATAGTAATGCGGAGTGGATGTGTGTGTGTGTCCCACCTGAAGCCCTCTTTTCATTCATGGGGCAAGCTGTTTACTAGCGACAAAGCTGTGGTGTTCAGAGGCCTGTTCCCACCAGAAACACATTAGCTAAGGCAAAATCAAACAGCATCAGTAGAGGAAGAACCTACATATGGCTGCCAAATGAAATTACAAACTGTCTTGACCTCTTTGGAGAACTGATATTACAAGGCAGCCAAGTGAACTGAATTCCAGATGGTAAAAGCCTCCAAGGAGAGCTGGAACCTATGAACAGATCCATGAACTCCTTTGGCAGAGTATGTGTAGAAGACATCACATCCATAAAAGTCGATAAAAGGAAAACAGCTGAAGTGTTAACAAATCCTTAAAGGTTTCCAGCACAATTGTTTACAATCCCTGGGAGCCCCAAGTACAAAGGATATCTGTGGTCATCCATCCATATTTTTTCCAGGTTCCTATTGGGTACTCTTAACAAAGATCAGGACAAGAGCAAGGGACTGAGAGGTCCCTCAGAAGTTCACAGGCCACAAAACTGACCCACTTCTCAGATTTTTTTTTTTTTTTATAAATATAAATACAACAGTTGTTAGTCTCAGGGGAGGAGCAGGATCTCTGGTAGCCCCACACGAGATCTGCTTCTGCATCTTGAGGTAGGGTTGAAGCAAAAGTCCACTGCCACTGAGGGAGCCTGAGCCCACTGGCTCTCTCATTACACTGGTTTTAAGTGACAGAAGAAGCAATTTCCATTTTCCTTGAGACAGGGAAGGGCAATTACATTCCCCCAACCATCAGTCTTGTACCAAGTAAAAAACAACAGATGTCTATTGTTGGGTGTAGGGCAGGAAATATACTGCTCCCATTCCCAAGGATAGATCAGCTGCAACTGAGCAATGCTGGCTCAGGCCAGCACTAATGTAAAACAGAGTCCTGCAATGGCGGAAGGAGGGAGAGGACACTCTCCGCACATCCAAGACTTCTCAACAGAGAGATGTTGGGATTTGGTTTCTATATAGCAAAGAAAAATGCTAAGAGACTTCCAACCCACAGTTCAGATCCATAACATCTACCTCTGAGAATGGACAGAAAATCCGAAACTCCCTTTACTTTCACTTCAAATGCTGTACTGAGCACCAAGTAACAACGTCTGTGGATGGGGTAGAGAGGAGAGAATGGAGAGGGACTCTCTTTTTGGCTCAGATGCATAGGCCCTATTGAAAGTTGAAGGTGGAGCAGAAAGAAATCATAAAACCCTATAGATCCTCAGGCCCCACAAGAGCACCAAATAGCAGAATGCATGCAAAGAATTTGAAGCATGAGGTGCTCGGAAGGTAAACACAACAGTGAAATTCAAATCTAGCTCTTTCACTAAAGCTACTGAGTCAACTCCCCACACAAATGGCAAGGCCATTTCCAAAATGAATACTAATTACCCTATTCTCTATTGTTCTTTTACAAAAAATGAAGACCCCTAGGGGATAGATTGACTTAGTGGCAGTAACAATGGGTTCAAACACAATAGTTATGAGGATGGCCCCAGGACTGGGGCAATGTTTCCTTCGGTTGTGCTGAGGGTTGCTGTGACTTGGATGGTGCCTGACAACAGTATTCTGCAACTGAGCTCCCTGGAAAAAGTGATGGATTGTCAAACTTATGTGGACTGTCGTTCGTCGATGCCATAAATACTGAATAAGCTTTCTCGATGTCCCTGGAACATAACCAATGATCAATTATTGTTGTTATTAAGTGCCATCAAGTCAGTTCTGACTCATAATAACCCTGCATAGGGTTTCCAAGGCTGTACATCTCTGTGGGAGCAGAAAGATGAGACATTAATAATTTAAATAAAAAAATTGTGAGAACATAAAAAACAAGCAAAAAAGGATCTATTATTAATAGAAGGAGGGAGAGGATGGTGGGACTTGGTTTCTATGTAACAAAGACTCAGAGACATCCCACATGTTGGAACTATCAGACAAGTTAGTGGTTCAAACTTACCAGTCACTCTTCGGAAACCCTATATAGGATTGCTATGAGTTGGAACCGACTCAAGGCGAGGGCACTTAACAACAACAATGACATGTATTAGAATGATTCCTAGTGTGGTGAACACTAGATTCCTATAGGATGAGTGCTAGACTGTTAACCACAAGGTCAGTGGTTCAAACCCACCAGCTGTTCCTTGGAAACTCTATATAGGGTCACTGTGAGTTCGAAACAATGGTACTTCACAACATGTATTAGAAGATCTAGTTGAAAAGATGAACAATCTGTGAGCAGATCGAAGGCTTTAGCTTAGAGATGAAAGCAATTAAAAAGAGTTTAATGGAAATGCTTACAACAAAGCCCATAATATCATAAATGAAGAGTTCCTTTAACATAATTATCCACAAAGTGGTCACAGCAGAGGAAAAATCAGTAACTTAAAGATGTTGTTGTTAACTGCCTTCCATCGGTTCATACTCATAGAGACAAGGTCTGTTTGGCAAGTTTGAAGCAGATCAAAGCAACGTTAAGGCTAAATGCTTATGCTAAGGTGCCACGAGCACTCCAACTTAAAGACAAGTCAATAGGAATGATCTGGATTTGCCAATATGATGGGTTTGTAGAATATCTCATTGTTAGTGTCTAGCCTTGTTTTCCACTGGAATTGAGCATCTTCTCACATGTTGAATGGCTATTCAGATTTCTTCTGCGAATAGCCTTTCAATAGAAAAACATTGGGGGGTGGTGTCATACTCTGGTAGCGTAGTGGTTACAAATTGGGCTGTGAACCGCAGGTCAGCAGTTCGAAACTGCCAGCTGTTCAGTGGGAGAAAAATGAGGCTTTCTGCTCCCAAAAAGATTTACAGCCTCGGAAACCCTGTACAAGGTCGCTATGAGTCGGAATCAACTCCATGGCACATAACAACAACAACAAATATATATATATATGTGTGTCTGTGTGTGTAAAACCGTCCTATTCTTTACAATAATCATTTTGCATATTCCTAACACTGGTGTGGTGATGTGGGCTAATGCGTCAGACTGCAAAATCCTTTGAACTGCAAGATCGGTGGTTCAAACTCACCAACTGCTCCTTGGAAACCCTGTATAGGGTCGCTATGGGTCGGAATTGACTGGACGGCACTTAAAAACAACAACAAATACATATTCTTAGTTACTAGAGCTGTATAGAGTTTCCAAGGAGTACCTGGCAAGTTTGAACTGCCAACTTTGCGGTTCAAACCGACCTTGAAGTGGAGTGCTTATCCTAGGGAGCCACACCAGGGCTCCAGAGCTTTAGAGAAAGCCTTCATAAATGATTGGCTTGGTCCTTCTTATTCATCTTTTCAAAATTGTCTTGGTTATTCTAGGTCTTTACCGTGGTGGCAAAAAACTGCTAGTTCTTCACTGAAGTGTACTTCGTTTTCTGCCTGAGCACAGAGCTACCGACTCCGTTCACAGTTCCACAGGACTGATCTGGACTTTGGTAGAAACACTATGCCCCACTTCCCAGTCACAGTTCTTAAGAAACGGGTCTTTCAAAACCCTTTTCTCCTTGGGAGACAACAGTGCCAAAATGTCCTCCCAATCACCATGGCAGGGGCGGGGGTGAAAGCAATTCCTCCACAAGAAGTAAACATCTTAGATTGTTGAATGAGTAATACATTGCAGAGTCCCCATGGGAATGCCTGATTTACTTACAGCCGATGTTACTAACCTTCTGTGTTGCCTTGTTCCTGGTGAATGTCAGCTTCAGACACGCATTGGCCGGAGCTCCGCACCACTTTCGCCTCCTGCGCTGGGGTCCTGCCCTTTGCAGCGGGGCCTCCGGATCTGCTCTAGGGAAACTTTTCTGTTCAGGATGAGGGTCTCCTCCAGCGCCCTCTGTAACCTAAAGCCCCCAGCCCCTGGCCTCCAACCCTCCTCCCCGGCAGGGCCTCTGAGCCTTGCTCTCAGCTCCTTCCTACTCCTCCTGTCCAGGATTGGAGGGAGGGGGGAGGGCAGCTGCTAGCCGTTTCCAGCCCACTCCTAGCAGAGGACAGGGAAGTCCCCAGCCCACTTCCAGTTCCCCTGCAGCGTTCACCTCCTGGCATTGAGCTGTGCTGACCTGACTTGTCCTTGGATTCCCAAACTCAGGACGTGCATCAAAGCGTTAAAGTATTACTGCTTTTGTTAATAAGTGTTCAACACAAAGATGTCAGAATTCTCCTTTGAAGCAGGGGTGGCAAGGTTTGGCCTCACATGCTTTGGATATGTTATCAGGAAGCACTAGTCCCAGTAGGACATCATGCTTGGTAAGGTAGTTGTTGTTGTTAGGCACCATGGAGTTGGTACCGACTCATAGCAACTCTATGCACAACAGAATGAAACACTCCCGGATGCTGGACCAACCTCACAATTGTTGTCACACTTGAGCCCAGTGATGCTGCCACTTGGCCAATCCATCTCGCTGGGGGTCTTCCTCTTTTTCTCTGACCCTCCACCTTACCAACATGATCTCCTTCTCCAGACACTGGTCTCTCCTGACAATATGTCCCAAGTATGAGAGACGAAGTTTGGCCATCCTGGCCTCTAAGGAGTACGCTGGCTGGTAAGGTAGACAGTCTGTGAAACAGATGAAGACCCTCACTGAAATGGATTGACACAGTGGCTCCAACAATGGCCTCAAACAGAACAACAATTGTGAGGATGTTGCAGGACTGGACAGTTTCCTTCTGTCTTACACAGGGTTGCTATGAGTTAGAACCAACAACAACAACAACAACTATACTATTATATTAAAAGTGTGCAAGTGTACCTGGAAGTATTTCTTTAATGATTTTCTTATGCATAGAAAGGTACATTATAAACTAAGACAGA